TCCCTGGAATAAACCTACTGAGAGAAGTCTTGTTCATGCAGAGGTCCAGAGAGCTCTCCAGGCCCATATGGTTCCTGTAGAAGAGCTGTCATTGCTATGCGTGTGGTCAGGTACCTGCTGTGGGCTAACCACACAGACCTAATGGTCCTTCTTCTTCACGCCTCCCCTGAAGTCTCTAGATACTCAGAACATTGCAATCACATGTCCTCCACTCCCAAGGAGTTCTCTAGTACAACTGAAAAGGCTGTTCTATGGCATTAGTGACATGTTTTTAAGGACTAGGAATGTCGTTGAGTACTTGACATTGAGTGTTGTAGAACACTCACCTAACTGGTGTAAACTTCAGAGTTCCACCCTTACCCCTGAGGGAGAAGTGGTTTGAGATAAGGTAAAAATCACCTTCACCTGCTATGTCTCCGTTCCTTACTAATGAACAGGAAACCGGTGTGAAAAACAGTCCTTTGTAATCCGGTTGTCCTTCTTGTGACTATAACCCAGCTGCAGAGCAGAGTGGACAGTGAGCTAGCCCAGCAGTCTGCCCCCACCCGGCCCCTGGCTGTGCCTAACTCTAAGAAGTGCTCGGGCTCCCTGCAGGTTTCTTTCTCCTTTGCATTTTTATCCCTAAACAGTATCACCCACATTCTGCTTGTCAAGAAGCAGCTTACTGGGATTGTGTAGTTAGCCCTTGTCCTGTCCTTCAAAGGCTTTTCCCAAGCATCAGTGTTAACAGGGTGAGGATCTCTGCACCCAAAGGTGTGCCTGGGTCAGTATTCAGTGCATCTCCCTTCCCTTCTAGCTCTATCTGCTTGGTCTCCGGGATGCTCATAGTCAAGGGGTGCGGACGGGGGTGGAGGAGGGTACGTGTGTATTTTGTTTGAGTTTCCAGTGCTGGGACCAGACCCAGTGTGTTAAGCATATTAAGTGAGCTCCCTAGTGTGAAGGCTTTGATCATGGTTTTCTTATCTGTCCTTTAAGGCCTCCTCAATCTTCCTTTAAAGGCTTTAGCCCTTTAATGTAGTTCCTCAAGTTGTGCTGACCCCTAACTATAAAATTATTTTTTGTTGCTACTCCCTAACCGTAATTTTGCTACTGCTATCATAATCATAATGTAAATCTCTGTGTTTTCCAATGGTCTTAGGCAACACCCTCCCTCCCTTCATGGGGTCGTGACCCACAGATTGAGAACCATGACTCTAAGGCTCTTCTTCCCTCCTCTCCACGGTTTCTATCTCCTTTCTGGAGATTGGTGCTGTTGAGCAGAGATAGAATGTGAACCATGAGTATTATTAAGTCTCATGTGTGAGTTTAACATTTCAGCAGGCATGCTAAAAAAAAATTTAATTAATTTTAATGCTTAATTTAAATCAATGTATCAAGACTATTAAGCCGAGGATGGAGACTCCTATCTGCAAACCCAGCATTTGGCTGGGGGAGCACTGGAGCACTGAGGCAGAACAGTCACCATGAGTTCCAGGGCAGCATGGACTGCATACTTAAATTATAAGTCAGCCTGGGCTACAGAATAAGATTCTAGTTCAAAAAACAAAAGGAAGGAAGTATAATCTAACATGTAATCAACAAAAGAAATTATTAGTGAGCTAAGTACATGCATTGGTTTCCAGTGGGCTTCAGATCAGATATGTATTTTAAACTTAGGATGTGGATCTCATTGCTAAGTAGACACATTTCAGGTGCTTGATAGTGGTGTCCGGTTTTCATTACTAAGTGTGTATTTTTTTTTTTTATAAACCACCTAATACCCCAAAGGAAGCAGGATTTTGAACTGGTTGAGAGTAGTCAGTCTCCTTGCAGAGTGCACTTTCAAGCCATCTACCTCTGTTTTCTCATCTGTCAAGTGGGCAGAAGGGTACTTCTGTCATGGTCATTGTCATGCTAGAATTAAGTGGAGGCAAGAGGATCAGGAGATTAAGACCAGTGAGTTCTGGCTTAACCTAAATGTGGCTATAGAGTAAGAACTTGTTTCAAAAACCAAAACGGAGGAAAGAAATAAACTCTTGATTTATAACAGAATCATAAAGTTTTGTAAACATAAGCTTTAAACTCTAAGTCTGCGATGCTTAAGTTTTATCAACATATTATTATTTCATTCTGCCACTAGTGTTTTTAGACGATGTTACTGCTCCAACAAAGCGATTTCTGGATACTGATGCTTCCTCCCTTGCTGTCCTAGGGCGAGTTTGTAGATGATGGGACTGAAACACACTTCAGTGTTGGGAACCACGACTGTTACATAAAAGCCGTCAGCAGCGGGAAGAGAAGAGAAGGGATTATCCATACACTCATTGTGGACAACAGGGAGATCCCAGAGGTCTCTCAGTGACTGCTTCCTAATGAGTTCTGGGCTGAAGAGGTGACATCAGGTCTTGCTATTGGCTGTGGTAATTAAATGTGTTCCCGCTGTACATATCGATAGATTTAATTTGCAGTGTTTTTATTTTTATCTCTTGTTACTCGAAACTGTAATATTCCAACGGTCAGAAAGGAAATTATGTGGAATCTAAATTATGTGGAATTTAGAAATAAAAAAGTTTTCGCCTTTTTATTTCTCTTGTATTTGAGTATGTGCTTGCACGCCACAGTGCATATAGAGAGGTCAGAGACAGCTCTCTGGAGCTCTCCCCTCCACCGTGTGGTTCTGAGGGTTGAACTCAGGCTGTCAGGCTTGGCTGCAATCTTCCACTCAGTCATCTTGCTGCCCATGGTTCATCTTATAAGTGATGTAAAAATGATTTAAATTTAAATGGAAAATAATATAGAGGCCCAAATCAAGGACATTGCGCGTCAGTAATCTTCACCAGGGTGCACCCTGTAAAATAAAATCTGTACCGTATCCCATGTGTTTCGACAAATGAGCATGCCTTCATATTTTTTTCTCCTGTGCAGACAGGTTGCCTCTACTTTAAAGCAGGTGGTTAATAATGATAAATCCAGGGATTTGTTGTTGTTATTTTGGTTTTTAAAGACAGGGTCTCTCTGTGTAGCCCTGACTGTACCAGAACTCACTCTGTAGACCAGGTTGACCTCAAACTCAGAGATCTGCCTGCTTCTGCTTCCCAAGTGCTGGGATTAAGGGTGTGTGCTGCTGCCACATGACTTATATATTCAGCTTAACTGGAAAAGATAGCAAACATTTTCTGTCTGAAAACATCAGATAGTGTCACATAACAATTTCACTTAAAAATGTGTTTCTAAAATTGCTGCTGTTTAATTCATGCCATGACGAAAATACAAGAAGAAAACTGGCAAGCATGTTTACACCTGTTATGTTACCTTTCCTGGGGAAAAAGTAGAGAAATGTCCATTTGCCTGATGTAGCATACCAACAGACCAAAGGAATGATTCCATCCAAGCTCAGTTTGATGAGCCTAGGAGCTTCCTGATGTTGCCTGCAGGGCCAGGATGATTCCAAAGCTGTTGCATGGCTTGAGTCCCAGCTTCCCGGTAAACCTGCCACTTCCTCTGCTCTAGCACCTGAGAACCCAGTAAACCAGGTCACAAAGATGCCTGGAATCTCAAGCAAGGGTCTCCTGACCCTTCCACCCATTTCTTCTCTGAAGTAATATTAACCACCCCCATTACCATTGCCATAGACTTGGCTCTTCCTGCTTGTTAATTGATTTCATCACCGTGACTTCCAACCAAGACTTGTGTAGGTGGCCGCAGCCACTTGACTTCATGGTGGTCATATCATGCACAAAGAAAATATCTTTACTGCAAAAATCCCAGGCTACATCAGACCGAATGCATCTTCAGGTGGGGTTTCAAAATCAGCACTTACCCACCTGGCAGTTCAGCACCAGAGTGAGTGTCTCAATGGCAGAGTGGAGCCCCCCACCTCCCGGGAAAAATTAAGTAAGAGGCAGCGTGGTAAGTGCTCTAGCGTGGTTTGTGCCCCTCCCAGTCTTTACAAGTCTGTAGGGGGTGCTCAGGAACTGAAACAGGGGGCTTTGCTCTTGAGTCTGCTCACAGGAGATGCCTTCACAGAGAGAGCACTGTGAAGTGAGGTTGCTGATCACACACTTAGGAGTGTCTGAAGAGCAATTACGCGCCAGCATAGCACAGCCTCTAAGCAGACAAGCAAACAGCAGAAATTAATTACTTCTCCACCAAGAAGCCCCATAAGAGCACTTGACTTGCTGACAGATGTGCTGAACCCTGCAGAGCACTGTGTGAGAGCCCAGACCTGAATAGAGTGTATCACAGGCATTCCTTGTATTGCGTCGGTATTGCTGAGCTGACAAATCGCTGCTTCTTGCTAAATGGATTATTTTCATTGCCTGTTTCCCCCAATTTCATGCTCAAAGCTGAGAATTTCAAGTGGAGTCCATGGAATTAGACTTCAGATGTTTGTTGTTTTGTTTTAAAATAATTTCTGTACCAATTTTTAAGATTCTTTCATAACCCTATTTTTGACATTTTTTTAAACTAAATTTATATGGCTCAAACATATTTTTAAAATAAAATTATATGGCTCAAATGAGTCACCCTCTGCCTGTGGAAGTCACATATAGGATACGAGATTCCTTATACACATTCCAACCACTGGAACCTAAACAGTTTATACAGAGATTTAAGAAGCAGGATCACAGCCGGGAGGTGGTGGCACCTTTGGTCCAGGGGCTCAGCGGGCAGAGGCATGTGAGTCTCAGTGAGTTTGGGACCACTCTGGTTTATATAGCAAGTTCTAGGCGAGTCGGGGATGCATAGTGGAGTCCTGTCTCAAAAACAAAAATGGGGGCAGAGGAGGAGAAGATGAGAAAGATGACAAAGAAGAAAGCAGAGGAGGGGGGGGGACTTGGGGAAAGAAGGGAATCAACTGGGGAGTCAGAGTGTGGGGGTGGAACGGGGGAATGAGAGAAACAAATGAGAACAGAGGATGATGACATCTGTGCATAAAAATGCCATAATAAAACCCATTACTTTGTATGCTAATGAAAAAGAATCCAATTAGCAGCTCTGGCCACATTCCAGGTACTCACCAGTCACCTGTGGCCAGTGGCTAGTGCTGTGGGTGATGCAGCAGCAGACGATGTCCATCAGCACCCCAAGTTCTGCTGGACAGCACCTGCCTGTCCAGACAGTGCCTCAGGCTTCAGGAGTTGCTCTGCAGAAACCTAGGAAGAGCTGAAATTCAGGGTTTCCAGACGTTACCACCCACAGCCTTTAATACTTTACAGTGAACTGACGTCGTTCCAAGAGAGACTGGGCAGACATGAAGCAGGCACAAGTTCCAACACCAGCAAAGAGGAATTGTGGGTTAGGAGACAAGTGAGGATGATGGCTTAGACAGGCCTAAACCAAGGAACCAGCATACGTGATGGAAAGGGTCATGGGAAGAGCCTTTCCCACTGTTTTCTCTCACATCATTTATACTGATGCCTTTACAACTGTGGGCTCAAAAGTACTACCTTTACAGAAACCTCTTCCCCCTCCTTCTCCTCCTCCTCCTCCTCCTCCTCTTCCTCCTCCTCCTCCTCCTCCTCCTCCTCCTCCTCCTCCTCCTCTTCTTCTTCTTCTTCTTCTTCTTCTTCTTCTTCTTCTTCTTCTTCTCTGTCTCTGTCTCTCTCTCTGTCTCTCTCTCTCTGTCTCTCTCTCTCCCCCGGCCCCGTGTGTGTGCATTCAGCCCATGACATCATGCATACAAGGCAAGCATCCTACCAACTATTAGATCCCCAGTTCCTACCAAGACTTCTGTGTGTGACAAAGTCTCACCACACCCAAGATGGCCCTGAATTCTTGGACCTCCAAGCCCTGTCTCCCCAGGACTAGGATTATAGGTGTAGAGCACCACACCTACATCAAAACATTCATAATAATAATTAGGGCTGTGGTGATATCTCACTTAGGAAAACCATTGGCTTTGCATTCTTGAGGACTTGTATTCAATCTCGAAGAACTTCCATAAAAAAAAAAAATCAGTGTATGGGCTGGAAAGATGGCTCAGCCATTAAAGGCTAGGCTCACAACCAAAATTATATTTTAAAAAAATCAGTGTATTAGTTAGGTTTCTCTGCTGGAGAGATGACTCAGCAGTTAAGAGCACTGCCTGCTCCTCCAAAGGTCCTGAGTTCAATTCCCAGCAACCACACAGTGGCTCCCAACCATCTGTAATGAGATCTAGTGCCCTCTTGAGGAAGAGACCTGGTCAGTTGTCCTCTTCAACTTAGACCATGAAACAAGTTCAACAGAACTGCCACATATGGGCTGCCCATGCAAACTTCAGCATTGACAGGGCATAAATTATATATATGTGTGTGTGTGTGTGTGTGTGTGTGTGTGTGTGTGTGTGTGTGCGCGCGCGCGCATATACATAATTAAAAACATATCAATATATATTAAAAAGGGATTTATTAAACTGTTTCACAGGATGTGACCCGGGGAGTCTAGCAATGGCTAACTATGAAAGGCTTAGAATTCCACAGTTATTTGGTCCACAAAACTGGGTGTCTCAGCTTCCTCACTTGGCCACCAGACTTGGAGGAGTCCCGGAGAGCTGCAGGTCTTCAGTCTGTGTTGAGAACCTGGAAAAGCTTTCTTAATACTGGCTACAGAAACAGGGTAGACGAAGCTGCCAGAGAAAGTGAGGGTAGCATTCAAAAGCTAAGTTTCTTTCTTCCATGCCCCTGTATTTGGGCTGCCACCAGAAGATGTGGCCCTGATTTAGGGTGGGTCTTCTGCTTCAAATAATCTGATTAAGAAAATCCCTCAGGTTGGAGAGCTGACTCAGTGTGTAAGAGCCTTGCTGCTCTTCCAGAGGTCTTGAGTTTAATTCTCAGCACCCATATGGTGGCTCACAACCATCTGTAATGGGATCTGATGCCCTCTTTTGATGTATGTGAAGACAGAGCACTCATGTACAGAAAATACATAGATAAATAAATCTTAAAAAGAGTGGAAATCATAAAAAAGGAAAAAAGAAAAAGAAAGAAAGAAAGAAAGAAAGAAAGAAAGAAAGAAAGAAAGACCCTCATTGTTGGGTATGGTGGTGTGTCTTTAGTCCCAGGCAAAGGCAGGCAAATCTCTGTGAATTCCAGGACAGAATAGGCAATATATTGCCTATATATATTGCCTATATATAAAAAAGGAAGAAAAGAAATAAAGAAGAAGAAAGAGAAAGGAAGGAATAAAGAAAGACTATTCCTTACAGGTTTGCCCAGCAGCTTGGGATTTATTCTATATGTAGTCAAGTTGACAACTAAAATTAGCCATCACAGTCATGCGCTGGCACACTTGAAATCTCAATGCTGGAGAGATGGAGACAGGAAGTTCCCTGGGGCTCATTAGCCAGTCAGTCTGACCTAAATGGTGAGCCCAGGGCAATGAGACTCCAGTCCCAAGGGAGGCAGACAGTGTTCTGAGGATGACACCCGAGCTTGTCTTCTGGTTTTTATAGACGTACACACATGCATACACACACGCACGCACACACACACACACACACACACACATACACACACACACACGACCATGCAGACTCACATGCTTTCTCTCACACTAAAAACACCTGTATTTTCCAAGCTGAGAATCATGGCACATGCCTATAACCCAGAGGTAGAGACAGAAGGATCCGGAGTTAAAGGTTATCCTTGGCTATATATTAAATTTGAGAACAGCCCGAGCTACATGTGAACCTGTCTCAAACAAACACATTTGCTAAGAAAGCCAACTGCCAGTCAGTCCCTTTGCCTCACTGGGCCCAGAAACCAGGCAAAGAGCAAAGTCCAACGCTGAGGGACATTAAACTCTGCTGCTTTTGTTTCAAGTCTTTGGAGGCTGTGGTTTGTTTACATTTTTTCTTTTAATGGCCATATTTTATCTGGTACAGAAACGTCTTGCATCACATTCAAAACAACAATTTTAAACAAACACAAAAACATGTCGTGTTGAACTCTCGCTATCAGAATCAAAGCCTGTGATTCTTTTCCGCAGTCTCAGGCAGCACAGCGCACACCAGGAGGACGGTTTGATTACATCTTCCTGTGATCACACTGTGGGAACGCAGTTTTGGTTTGACTGGTGACTCGTATTTCAGTTTTGTTTTTAATGAAAAGCAGCATGTTGGTGTGGATTCGGTTTCTCCTAGGCCTGAAATCTGTCACAGTAGGAATTCAAAGATAATGAAATTGTAGACATGCCATGCAGAAATCTGAAAGTCTAGTTGTATAATCCCAGCATAGGGATTGCTACAAATTCAAAGCCAGTTACATAGTGAGATCTTATCTCAAAATACCCACAACTACAACAAAAACAACTAGTCTTCAAAATGATCAATGGCCTCAAAGAGGATTAAAGCCCTCAGTTGACAGCCTGGAATGGAGCTCAGTTGGTTAAATGCTTGCCTAGCTTGCACAAAATTCTGGTGTTCAATCTTCAGTACCACATAAAAAGCGTGTATGGTGCTATATGCCTATAATCCAGGACTCAGAGGGTGAGAGCAGGAGAATCACAAATTCAAGGTCACCTTTAACTATACAAAGAGTCAAGACCAGCTTAGGCTACAGAAGAACCTGTCTCAAAAAGCAAACAAAAAGCAACCAAATGGAGGAAAGAAGTCAACTGATACAGTAGATGGCGAAGTCAGCAACACGGATGAGAATTTTCAGTACCATGGACAAAAATAAAATCCATATTTTGAAAAACAAAATACATCTGGGAAGAGAAATCCTACATCAACTAAAAACAAAGTGGCATGCATCACCAGTGGGCTAGGCCAAGCAGAGGATTGCAGATTTGAGATGGAGGATGCAACAGGGAGAATAGTATTTTGAGATAAATCATGGGGGAAAGTAAACAAATAGGAACACATCTTTCAAAACCCTGGAGACATGATCAAAAGACCAAACCTCAGAACCCATGGGGTACAAGAGGTGCTAGGATACAAACCAAAGGCTCAGACAATTAGAGAAATTACAGCAGAAAATTACTCAAGCTTGGGGAAAGACATGGACATTCAAACACAGGAGGCAGAGTCCCAAATAGACACAAACAAAAGAGAACTTTACATACAACTGTATACCTAAAAAAATCTCTTTATACTTAAAGAGATATGACTTAAAATAGATGAATAATATTTTAAAGGCCTTTTTTAAACTCACAGAAGCAAACTCTGAAGAATAACATTAGACTTCTCTCCAGAAATCTTAAGCTCAGGAGCACACAGAATGAGATATGCCCTGAAACTTAATAACTGACCCCACAATATTACTATGTCTGGTAAAAGTAGGTTGTAAAATTGATGGGCAAATTAAAAACCACCCAAGATAACTACAGACTAAAGTGATCACTATGCCAGTTCTGCAGAAACAATTAAAGCAATCCTAAATACAACAAAGGAGGGCCCACAGTTAAAAGTATGAATGTAACGCTAGCTTGGTATAGTTAATCCCAGCACTAAGGCTGCAGAGGCAGATCTCTGTCTACAAAGAGAGTTCCAACATAGAGAGACCCTGTCTCAAAAAAAAAATCAGAATAACCATCCTATTTCCAAGAGTCTCAAGAAGAAATAAATACCTGGGAATAAGCCTATCTCAGGAAATGAACAGCCTCAAAATGAAAATTTAAGAAATCAGTAAAAGACATCAAGTAAGACACTAAAAGATGGAAATATCTGTGTTTACTTGTGAATCAGCAGACCAGATATTGTGAAAGTTACTGTATTATCAGAAGTAATATAGGAGGAGCTGGGGACGGAGTTCAGTTCACACAGTGCTTGCCTGAAATGTACACTGTTCTGTTCAGTCACCAAAACGGCACAAACTGAGCTTGGTGGTGCAAGCCTGCATTCCCAGCACTCGGGATAGAGGCAGTAGGGTCCAAAGCTCAAGGTTATCCTTGGCTACACCGTGAGTCAAGTCTATCTTGGGTTACATGAGACTCTGTCTAAAAATACAATTTTAGCCAGGCAGTAGTGGTGCATGCCTTTTATGCCAGCACACAGGAGGCAGAGGCAGGCAGATCTCTATGAGTTCGAGGCCACCCTGGTCTACAGAGCAAGTTCCAGGACAGCCAAGGCTACCCAGTGAAACTCTGTCTCAAAAAAATCAAAAACCACCCAAATAACAACAACAATAATAATGTATATATTTTTTAAAAGAGAGAAAGAGAAAAAGTAAAA